GGAATCTCATGACGTCTTTTAGCGTTCTGGGTTATTTCTTCACTTTTCAAATTTCAGGTAACGTTGCCCTCTGCACACATTTAAAGATTTTTTACATTATTTCTTTTTCTCCCCATTAACAAAGTTAGAGTTTCCTGCCACTTTACTCTCTCAAATGCAGCTTGGCAATAAACCTGTATTTTTCCTGCCCAGTTCGAAAAAGCACCATTAAAGTTAATGCATTTCAGGCGTGAGGGCAACCAGAGAAGGGATGAATTTCTTTAAGTCTTTGGTCTTTGTCTCACACTCTTTTTACAATGTGAAACTTAAAGCCGTAACAACAAATATGAAGAAAATTGGCTTTTGTTGTAAACAAGTGTATGTGAGCATGTATATATATATTTGTGTGTGTGTGTGCGTGCGCATCTTATGACAACAAAAGCTAATTTCCTTTAAGAACATCTGTATTTGCAAACTAGGTACGATGTGAACTAACCTGATGTCTTCACAAGTTCCACAGGAATCTCTCTAAGCTTGGAGAAATTTCTAGGGAGGGTTTTTTTATTTAGACATAATTTTGCTATACTGTATATTGCAGATGGTATTTTTAGGTTTATGCCTTAAACTTTTTTGTTTGTGCATATATGTGATATTTCTGATTAAAGGAGAAAAAAAACCCCTCTTAAAATACAGCTGTTCGACAGCACATGACTGAGAGAACCAAATATAAATCATTCTCATGCATGCTTGTTTTTAAAAAATTGTATACCTAGGAGAGGCCTTATACATATTTTAGTAGTTACTGTCTTCCTCTTTCGATGACTTCCTTTAGTGTTAACATTTCTTTGTACTCTTAAGCTACCCATTTCACTGTCTACTGGGTAATATACTTCAAAAAGTGAAAAAAAACCCCAAACCAAAAAAACCCACAAAGAAACTTGGAGAATGGATACAGTTGTGCAATCAGCATTAGGATCTCTGCTTTTGCTAACGGCAAAGTCTTTTTCTTTAGAAAAACCATCTGAACTCACCTGTGACAGCAGAAGGGCCACACACTATGGATACGGATAAGGTACTGGTGTACAGGTGAGCACTGACAGTCATCTTCCTGACTGCTTACTGAAGCCTTGCATTTAAAGCAAACTTAACAAGGTCCCAAAGCCCTATAAAGTTAAGGGTTACAATACGTAAATGCATTTATGTAACTGCAGTATTCATGGTTGCCTAAGGTATATAGACGTTAGTATCACAGATCAGCATTTCAGTGGGGTTTTAATGCTCACAGCTGCGATGCAGACTTGCACACAGTGACGAATCAAGGTTCGGTCCCACAGCCACCCCAAGGGCTGGCAGTGTTTCCACTGCTGTCAATGCCCTGAATTTTCACCTATCCAGCTCCTGCCCTAGCTCAGGCCGCGAAGTCATCGGCATCTCTTCCATCGAGCTCAGTAGAAACAAATTCACTACCCACCCCAGCCTTGCCTTACGGTTGGGAGATAAAACTAAACTCCGGTTTGAGATAAACGTCACCTCCCCAAATAGCAAATGCTCAACTGAACTGAATTGCAGGCCCGATTCGTAAAGCAATACACAAACCCTTGTTCGTTTTTGGCATTTTATCGATGGCAGGTAGAGCATACGGATGAAATTCCAGCCAGCAAGGCTATAGTTTAAATGGACTGAGGGAAAACCAACCCATACAGGTACAGCAACTGTGAGGGATTTCTGGGCAAGGCAGGAGGAAAAGGGACTCTCGTGCATTTGCCGCATCCAACAGGTGAGTCAGTTGCTCCACAACAGCCCCCAACTGTGAGGGGGGGCTCAAACTATGAAGTGTGAGATAGCTGGATGGGTTTGCATGCTGCTTTTTAAAGTGCCCATTTTTTCCCCTGGGATCCTAGACACGGAGTCCTGTTTGCTCTGGTTTGCCACTCACTGAACAGCAGGCGACTCATCGTGTGGCCAACACAAGCGCAGGCAGCATCGTCTGAACCGCTGTCTTAAAACTCAAGTGGGGCTCAAACGATTTACAAGTCTGTACACGGGGTCAATCTCTCTAGCAATAATTTCTCATCTTTCAACACAGCATATCATTTTATGCTTTTTAAGATGGAAACATGATTGTAAAATACATTGAAGCAAGTAGAATTCCTTTAGGTAGACATAATTAAGGTACCCTTTGTTCACCTCAGAGAAGTGTCTGCAGTGATGGCACAGATGTGTAAGGTCGTTCCCTAACAGCTCCCCCACAGAAATTCATGCCAAAATAAATGGCTGAATGTCCTTAAGCAGTTTCATGGCCTTCGTGATACGAGAAGGTGACAACCTCATCCAAGAGCCCAGCTGAGAAGACCAGCCACTCAAAATTAATTTGTTGGGATGGAAATCCTCAGCAGAGCAGCCAGAGGGTGCACAGGGATGAGGACTGAACCACCAGCCTCTTGGGAGCAGAGCAAGGGAATCAGGATGCAGCATCCCTGCTAGGTCGGTCCCTGTGTCCAGCACTGCCTTTCTCACCAGCATTAACGCTCTCGGGGATGGGGAGGTTAATGCAACTCGTTTTCTGCACAGGGTACTCTTCCTGCAGCACGTCTTCACAACTGCTCACATGGGATTTGTTTATGAATTGGGCCATGCTTGCTATAAGGTTTGTGACCAGTATTAAGTGAAACAGGGGAAAAAACTCTACAGTAAATGTAGGACTATGAATGGGACTTCAGCTGTGGTCCCAGAGGTAACGTACACAGTATTTTGCTATATTTAACATGGTAAAGAAAGAAGTCTGTATCACTCTAGGTGCCCCTACAGTCTTAATGCATTTCATTAATATCTGTTTTAAGTTGCACAACCAGTTCCCAAGACACCCTCCTGTCCCTCCCCCCAAATAAACTAGTTTTAATAACAAGATAAATATGATGTGCTTCTCCTTGCTGAGTGCATTGACTTAAGGCATAGGCACAATTCCCCTCTTTGAACAGAGATGGTATAGTCCTGTGTCCCAATACAATTGTTATCCTGGGTGACCCTTTGCATTCAAAAGTTGACTCAAGACATAATAATTACAGGAATCATTCATTAACAAATAGTTTGAATTCATTAGTTAATCGGAAAACATTACTGAAATAAAAGTAGGTCATTCAATCCTCTTTCAGGAATAAATTTTATGGGAGTGTTGCTTTGTTAGGCAGCAACACATCTAATCTAAACTTCATAGAAATCTTTCCTTTGAATCCAGCCAGTTTTGGATTAAGCCAGAATTATTCATTTAAAAAAAAAATCAAACCCTGGTATCTCCAGACCACAAGAAAATACGTGGAAATCTGTATAAAATTAATGGTCTAAATTATTTCTAAATATTTCTGTCAGCTACATTTTTTCTTGAAGAACACCAACTTTGCTTAGATATCACTAGGGATGGGCACAGATCTGTCATATTTGCACATGAGGTAATATTTTCAAAAGCATCTCAGTGGCTTAGAAACCTTGCTGTCCTCGTGAGATTTACTGCGACTTGGACATTTTTGCAGTAATTAGTCCATTTGTTTTTCAAGGATTTTTACATGCATGTGGATGCAATTATGGGTCAGAATTCAATGATCTGGGCTCTTCTCATTATTTATCAAAACCTGAACTGTGGAAGTAATGTTACCAGATCAGATTTCACATTTCATCCTGCCCATAAGTGACTCCTGGACTTAAATAAAGAAAAATGCACCCATGAAGAGATTCAACCAGATAGTTTCTGGGGCTCGAACTCTAGAGGAACCAGCACCCAAAGCCCTTGCTTTCCAGTAATCTGGCTTTGTCACAATCTTTATAAATCCTTAAAAAAAGTCTGTTTCATTGTCAGCATCTCTGATATTTGCAGTCTCCACCAAATCTAAGTGACCTTGGACTGTATACCCTGAAAAGAACGATGACAAAAATTCTGGCATAGCATTGACGATACACATCTAATTTGTATGAACTTCTCTGTATCTATGTATAGAATAGGTAATTTTCTCCATTTCTATAGGTATTGATAGGTAATGTCCAAATCTTAAATCTTCACACCTTCACATGGTATCTTACATCTTTTTAAGATCTTTTAAAGGTGCTAATGGAGAGTGTGTAGGGTGATCCAGGACACCTGTTAACTAACGAGGTTCGGGATTTTTCTATTTAGTCCAACTTTCACAATTTTTTTCCTTCCAAGAACTAAATGCAACGCCAGTTTAGTTAGCACAGAGATGACTTTAATCATTATTATCATTAAGGTTGGAAAAGACCTCAAAGATCATCAAGTCCAACCGTCAGCCCAACACCACCATGCCCACTAAACCATGTCCCTAAGCGCCTCATCTACATGTCTTTTAAATACTTCCAGAGATGGGGACTCAACCACTTCCCTGGGCAGCCTGTTCCAATGTTTAACCACTCTTTCGGTAAAGAAATTTTTCCTCACGTCCAATCTAAACCTCCCCTGGCGCAACTTGAGGCCATTTCCTCTTGTCCTATCGCTAGGATAGGACAGGGTTAGAGCTGATGCATCACATCCGAACAGCACGAGGCATCCTTGGCCATGCACAGGCAAGTCTCAAACCCTTTCAGAAAAATACATGATTATTCCAGCAAGATCTGGACTCTTCTACTTGCCAAGTGCAATCCATGTCTCCCAACAGGGAGCCATGCTTCAGGTGAAAATTAAAGAGTGTAATTTAACCACAGGTATCTTGGATCACTCTAGGTGATCAGTACAGCACATATGGCTATTTTGTTGGTTTTTTTTTCATGCCACTGATTTAATGGTGCAAAAATAATCAGAGATGCTTCTCTTCCCTTTGTATGTTGGTAGATCTATATCGGTTCCAGGGTCTTGCCCAGCCAGCAATCCCACTGCTCTGAGAACTTGATCAAAAACAAGGGGTGATCATTAGACTATATTAATACGGAAGGGTTCAGGGGAGCATCAAGTCCAATTCAGCAGATTGTACCAGTAAATTTTGGTGCGGGAAAGAGAAATGCTACACAAATGTTATATATATTTTTATATATATATTCACACACACGCGCGCGCACACACAAAAAAAGTCTTTGATAGGCTTTCTGTGTTCTAGTAAAAATAGTTGGCAGCTGCAATCTGTGAGACCAGAACTGGCTTTTGGGCTGCCTGCGATGCCCCGCTGCAAATTGTCTCTCAAAGGCAGACGCTTGTATTTATCTGGCAGGTCGAGCTAGTGCCTGCCTGAGACAGAAATAACCTCCCATTGGGACACACACAGAGCTCGTAGATTTTTTGCCTGGACCCTGCAGAAGAGGAAGATCCTTGAGGCAAGTTAGGTAGTTTGATTTTTGCAGAATTCAACGTTATCTGAAGTTGGAGGGGGGGAGAGAGAGAAAGAGAGAGAGAATTAGTGAAGAGATGTTATTTTTGATCTTGTATTTAAAGAAGCTTCCTTTGGACAACTCGGCTGCTACAAAAACTGGGTAGGCAAGTGTATTAAGATGGGAAAGTCTGATACGAATCTGGGTGAGCATATGATCTTGCCTTTACCATGAGCCACCTAAGACCTCCAGTTTGTTTCTGCTAATCTACCCACTGTGTTTTCTTGGCTTGTAGCTTCCTGGGGCACCTCCGTGTTTGGGTTAACCCAACCAGAGGTACCCCACTGCTAGGTGGGGAGCGTGTATGGTTCACGTCTATGCAACGACTCTGCTCCTCCACCGGGACTTCTGGCACTGTGATCCCATTGCCAGTTACGCTTACAGGCTCACCACACTGACTTTTATGTATATCTTATGTATACGTGTAACACTTTTATGTATATTAAAAATAACATAAATGCGGCAACAGACCTGAATTTCTCCTTATAAAACAGAACATAAAAGCGAACACGTGTCAGCTCTTAGACACATGGCAGCTACCGGGGAGTGCTCTAACATTAGCAAGAAGAGCACAGTAAGATAACCTGCACACCAGAATATTACAGGGCGACTGACAGTATTTGCTCTTATCTTGCAATTACAGTAACAGTCTCCACTTCAGTTTTAGTATCCAACTATCTAATCTCCTGAAAGAAACAGGTCAATATATGCATTTTAAAAGCAAATTAGTGTTTAAAACATTAAGACAACTGTTTGCAGTAGTGAAATGCCTTGGATTTCAATTGTAGTATATTAGGTAGGGGTTTTTTTTGTATTTTTGGGGTTTTTTTTGTTAACACCTCTGGTCTGGGTTTGGAATGTCTTAAAATGCAAATGTTTAGAAATAACAGGAATCACAATAAAAATCCCATTCTATTTTTTACACCTGACACTAAGATAGGAAAACATTAGCTGATGTTGGAGCCCTACTGCCAGCAGGTTTGCATTCAGTGCGAAGCTCCCCCTGCCGAGGCTCTCGGTGGGTTCCCCAGCAGGAGCTCCTCAGCCACATCATTCCGTGTCCTCCATCATTGTGGCAGCAGGAGGGGATGAGAATCGTGTGCTCGTGTATTTTTGAGACACCAGAAGAGGCTTAACTATTTTACTTTTGTTCTGTGTTATCAGTTTTAGTTATTCTCTCTTCCTCTTTGGAAGTTTCCCCAGTGCAACAACCTGTGTCTCCTAATGTTCCCTTTCTTTCCAAAATGAAAACATCAGCTACAAAAGCTTTTCAGATCAATACCTGTGAATTAAGCTCTTCTTATAGAAAAATGTATGATAAAAGATTTAATTATGTTGGCCAAGTAAATCTTGTTTTAAAGTGACAAAGAAACAAAGAATTTAGGAGCACTGTGTATTTTACAGCCAGATAAATTTGCTTGAACAACAGATGTTATTATCCAAGCACTTCAAAAATAATGAATCAGCCTTTGCCACAGAGTGAGGCTCATTTGCATATGATACGTTCAATAACTGCTAGCAGAAACTAAGCTAGGAAGGCCTGCCTCACCAGTGCCTTCACACCAGTGTTTCAAGCAGAGTAGTTCAGTGACTCAGAAGGCTACAAATCTGCAGGAGGCTTGGTTTGTTTTTGCTGCAGGGCTTGACGTCCTTTGCTTACCTCTCCGTCTTTGGATTCCAGCCTGAGCTCTGTCCTGCACGTGGCTTTCAAGCTGCCGGCCTCGGCATTGATCTCGATGCCTTTTGGAGCCTCCATCACCAGCGCGCGTGTAGGTGACTCTAGTCTGTAACAGAAAGGGGAGTTGCAGAGCTCGGTGGGTTGAATATTCATGCTTAATCTCAGGCTGTCATCCTGCACAGCCTGACTGCCCATTGCACGGCACCTTAGGACCTGCTGATGTTCAGATCCACGCCTGGTTTAGTCAGTGGAAAGAATTCATGCACAGTGTGGTAAAACACATCACAAATCCAATCTGCTAACATTTCACATCAACTTTGCTATGTTGTAAATGCTGGAACAAGATGCAAGGTGCAAGAGCTTCCCCCATGATCAACTTGCTCATATGCAAGATGTGAGGTTTGGAAGGGCTTAAGGGCATAAGGAAATCAATGAAAAAAAGAAAGGCTGAAGACCTCAAAATTCCTGGTCTCCACTTCTACGCTCACATTCCACTGCTTACAGCCAGGCCGCCCTGTGCAGTGCTTCGACCCCTCCTAACCGTCCTACGCTCACATTCCACTGCTTACAGCCACTGTGCAGTGCTTCGACCCCTCCTAACCGTGGATACACCACACAGGGATCTGACAACCCTGTTACAGCACTGGCTAACACAACCAAACCTTTTAGTTCAGGCAATTGGGGTTAATGCCGTAAGACGCAGAAGCGCAAGGTTCAGTCTTCCTTGCTGATTATCCATTCATAGGTCTTGTATTATACTTGTCTCTTCTTTATAATAGTGTCTTATTACTTTCTGTATTGAAAAGGATAATAAAAACCAATTCTCCCTCTTTGGGAATATCCTCTTAGTTGATTTTATCACCATTTATTTACTGTACCATCACAAAATCTAGACTATGATCTCCCCAGGTGAAGCAGGCAGGCGGACTGGAACAGAAACTCCTCTGCTTCGACTGCTTTGGGCAGGCAGCACTGACAAAACTGAAGCACAAGGGCAGCACAGAACCACCGAGCTTACTCGGGCAGCTTTTAGGATTTGCTTGCATTACTGCAGTGGCACTTCAGCTGTTTCTCTACTCTTCATATATAATCATTTGTGCAAGTAAGTGTATTCTTAAATGGACTCCTGCTGGTACTGAGACAACATTACGGGAGACTGAGGGAATTTGGCTGTATTTATTGCAGCGAACAGTTCAATAAAGCAAAGGCACAGTTGCCTCTGTGTGGCACTTTTCAAGTTATGACTTTCCCCCTTGTTGGCGTCTTCATATTGCTGCTTTTCAAACATCATTCCCTCAAGACCCCAAACTCATCCGTCATTTCCTGGCTGACTCAACTAAATCTAAATTTCAGGGAAGAACTGAGGCATATGCAGCCCAAGGAATGAGCATGGTCTCATGGTTAGCAGCCTCTGCACAATCTTTCTGAGCTGCTTTTCGTTTGCTCTCTGCAGGGAAGCTACATCTTACATAAACCTTCTTCTGATCCCTCCACTGGTATCACCCCTTGGCTGGTTCCTGTACGAGGAACCTAAGGTTAAGACTGCTGCTACTCACTTTTTTTTTCCTGATTGAATTGCAGATTGCATGGAGGAGAAAAAGCTTGCAAAGAACGATTGACATTAAATAGTGCTACCTGGGATATGATTCCCTCTGACCTTCCAATTGCAATAACTGCCTTTCCAATATCTGTTAGAATTTCTTTATGGTAAAAATAGCCACAGCACACAGCCTTAGGGCTCTGGCACATGCACTCTGGTGGCTTTCACTATGGTGGCTTAACACACTGCCTGCCCCACATTTTCCCTGGAGATTTCTGCCCAGGGATACAGTACGCTCTCTTCCTTAGTGGTGCAGGTCACAAGCTGGTATCTACCCTGGAAAATGAAGGACGCTCTGCTTGCACTAAGCCCCCAGGATCTGAGCTGCAGTGGCTGGAATGCAGGCACATATTCCCTCCTGCCGCCTCTGCTCCAGAGGCAGGATCCTCCAGAGGAGAAGCAGAGAGCTGAGGCCAGTAATATCTTAAGTCACTGTAGCTAAATTCACCAGAGGATGTGTCCAAACCCCAAGACAGCTGAGCTAATCTGAGGATAAAATAATTCCTAAGAACCATGGCCAGGTGACTCTTCAGCTCTCCAACATCTTAGGGACTCTTCAATTTCTTTGATGTCTTGGCTGTCTCAGTGTATTTGTTCATCTGTTAATCTTGTAGCTCTTCTGCCCACTGAGAAACAAATCTTCTAAGTGCAAAACAGTGTTCAGACACCATAGTGCAAATGCACTCATTTGCAGCAGCAGCAGCTCTCGATTCCTGCCCTGTGCCGGAGCAGCCTCCACACCAGTACTTTACTGGAGAGTGCAGAGAGCTGGGAAGTCGGCGAATGTCTTCCCATGGTGGGGGGGATCAAGAGGGACCTTCTTGCATATCTTCCCCTCTGCACACAGGTCCCCATAACATCAAACCGAGTTGTTCAAATCCATGCTTTGAACAAGCTACCAAGTACCTGGGAGTCTATTAGCCAACATTGTCCCAAAGTGACTGAGTTGTTCTCCCTCCTCCACCCAGTGAAAACCTACAGGCAGGATAACACTGATAAAAACCCATGCAATTAGACACATCCTAATCCCTACAGAGCTTCTTGCCTGACAAATGACCCTCTCGAGCACCTCCCGATAGTCCATGGTGTAACGTGGGACAAGCACACAACGCTGGGGCTTTGCTGCTGCTCCGTAACCCACCCCGCTCCCTGCAGCACCACGGGTGTTCTTTAAAGTTAGCTGAGCTGACCCCCACTCTCTCATCCTAAATCACTAGCTCAGACAGCTGCAATCTTGCTGACGTGCAAGCCATGTTAACCAAAACCCATCCCTTTAATGTTAAAAATATCATTTTGAAGCCCAGGGGCTTTTTTTTAGAACCTTAAAACTATGGAAATGAGTGCAAGTACTATAACAGCAAAGTGTAGCTCTTCCAATGACGAGAAACTTGGGCTTGCAGCCCACATGGTTTTGTACTTATGCCGTGGGTTTGGAGTCTGACTCTTCTCTCTCTTACACGTTCAATATTGGTGTTAACTCCATCTGTTTGCATAGGACTTTTGTCCCAATTTATGCTACTGTAAATGAGGACAGAAAGGTCTTAATAAAATTTTCCTTGACATATGATTGTAAGGGATTTAATTTGATTATTTTCTGATATCCTGAATGAATCCCCGAGACACCTGTCCTTAAACCAGGAGCTGAAAAATCTATGCAAAGCCAGATAAAGCAGTTGAGGAGTTTATGCTCTAGGGGGTTTGAGTAATGTTTACCAAATACTTTCATTTGAAGCAAGTGTTTAAGAGACACTCTGCTTTTAAACCTAATTCTGTCTTCCAGAGCAGAACCAATTTGGAGACTGATAATGAAAGAAAATGATTTAGTGATGAACAGATAATTTGTTCAAAATCAACATTTGTTTTCCAGTGTGATACTCTGGAGTTTTCAGTAGCATTCACATCTCCCGGTTAGGTGTAAGCCCGTACTTACAGCAGTAGGCTGGAAAGGCGGCTGCATGAATATAGATTGTTTCATTATTTGCTCCTGCTCTTGAATTTTCCATCCCAGCAATTGGCACGTAAGCCCTTTTTATTGACCATGGGTGTTGCTTATTTTTGCTCCAATATTTCCAGGACTAGATTCTGACCTCTCTCAGAGGGCTGTGCAAGGAGGGTAAATTCACTGCTATCCACAGAGTTACAGCTTGCTGAATTCAGGACCGAGATAAGCTATTTCCTCCCACTGCCATAAAATTGCTCCTGTCCCACCTAGTCTCCTAGTAGGCAGACGAAGAGACAGTCTCCTGTCTGGGTGACGACCTACAACATGGGAACCTCTCCTACGGATCCCAGGGTGTCATGTAAGCCCAAAATTTTAAAAGAAAAGACATAAGTAACAGGATTTTCAGAACTATCAAAGTACCCGGGTTCCACTTATTCAACAGGTGTTAGGTACTTTTGAAAATCCCACTGAGCACCTAAATGCCACAACAAATCTGACCCTTAATCTCAGTTCTTAGTTCTGCAACAGAGGTAATAGCACTTCCCAACTCCACAGGGAGGATGAAAAGATAAATATATTAGTGGTTGTGAAGTGGTTACATACTGTAATAACTGAGGCCAGGTAAGTATCATAGCCGAAGATAGATGGCTGGCAGATGGATAACTGATCTTTCCAAAGCTGCAATATTAGGCTCTTACCTTCATCAAAAATACTGTTAGTCTGGTTCCTCCCACTGAGCACACTCAGCCTGCATATCAATGTGCGAGATGATGTATGCAGGGGAAGCCTTTCTCCAGCTCACCATGCTCAATGGACAGTGTTAAATGTGCCTCTTAAGCTCTTTTACTCAAACCTATCACGGAAGCATCTCACATTTTAAAGAGAGGTGATGGCACACGTGCATCTCACGGTGAACCCCTCTCCTGCTATTGCTGGAAATTCTGTGCTCCTGGGAATCAACAAGAGAGCAAAATTTTCAGTGCCATCCCTGCTTTGCTTTGAAAACTTCAGCAATAATTTAAGGGAGGTGAGCACATGAGTTTGTATTGTGGTTCCAGTGAAAGTCATTCTCTTGGAAAGAATATTACTTACCCAGATTTCTAGTTTTCATTTCCTTCCTCATAAACGGTCACATTAATCACTCCAGCAGCATGGATTATTTCCTTCTTGTCCCTCTCCTCTCCTCACTCCCTCCAGGATAATGCATCGTTTTCCTTACTACTATGAACAGCCTTTTGAATTTGGGGAGAAGAGAGGATATTACAGATGCGAAGGCAGTACCACCAGCAGCTTGGGGCTGCTGACGTGCTTCCAATAAAGTGGACATAATTTCCTTAAAAAAATAAAGTTTAATGAGAATAGTTCAGGGGGAAAAATACTCGCCTGGGTCCAGCATTGATGCAAACGGGACTGGGCAAATACAGGCTGATTCCTTGGAGCCCATCAGCCTGTGGAGAAGGACTGGGAGGGAAGTGATGCTATCCGCACCTCCGCGGGGAAGGGCTGGTACCAAAGGCTGCAGCACAGTAGAGGGATGATCCTCAACATGTGAAAGGAGTTAACG